AGATCTGTTTTTAAATTTTTGAGGAACTTCCATATTTTCCCATGGAAGTTGGACTAATTTATATTCCCACAATAAGAGTGCACAATAAGAACTCTTTTTTCGTCGTATCCTCACAGCACCTGTTGTCTCTCACCTTCTTGATGGTTGTTCATTCTAAGAGGTGTGAGGTGATAGCACATTGTAGTTTTGATTTGTATTTCCCGGATAGTTACCATGTTCTCATATATCTCTTGGTCATTTTGATGTCCCCTTGGGGACATATCTATTAGTTCTTCTGCCCATTTTTTGATCATATTTTTTGGGGGGTATTAAGTCTTATGCAATCGTTTTAGGTATTTTGGGGATCAATTGCAAACCTATGTGGTTTACAATCCAATATTGTTGTCCTTTCATTTTATTGTTTCTTTTAATGTGTAGGAGCTTTTGAATTGGATGTAGTTTTGCTTGTTGATCTTTACTTTTGTTTGTGCCTTCTTGGCATCATGTCAAAAAAAAATCATTGCCAAGACCAACATTGATGAGCTTCTTCCCTACATTGTTTGTAGGAGGTCAGATTCCATCATTCTGTTTGTGTTTCTCCAGTTTTGCCAGCACAATTTGTTGAAGAAACTATCTTTTTCTTTAAAAAAAAAATTTATTTTATTTATTTATGCAGAGAAGAACTGGGGTCTAGGCCAGAGGTACAGGATTCACCAGAGGATTCACCAGAAACAGAGTAGGGAGCAGAACAGGAAGATCTACTGAAATACACTGCTGAGGGGAGCAGCAACAAGACAGGAGAGGTCTGCTGCGCCATGTGAGTTAGCTCCTGCCTGGGATGGAGCTCAGGCCATAGTGGCTGGTGGTGATAGCTTAATAGCTGAGACTTTAACCCCTGTGCCACCAGGGAGGCCCAACTCTCTTTTTCTTATTGGGCAGTCTTGGTTTCCTTTTCAAAAACTAGTTGGCCATATTCCCAAGCAAATGGGTTTACTCTCTCGCATACAGAAACTGAGACAATGACATCAGACTTTGAAAAGAGAAAGCAGCTTTATTGCAAATCAGTTGATAAAGAGGTAGGAGGCAAATTCAAATAGACCTCCAAATATATAAGTCTCAGCACTATCAAGCAATCCCCAGCCACGGAGGCATGAGTTCAACTGTCCAGGGACCTGACCCACAGGGCACAAGAGATCTCTCCTGTCTCACCTGCTGCTCCCCTCAACAGTATATTTCAGTAGATCCATCTGTTCTGCTCCCCACCCAGATTCCCTGGTGAATCCTTTTACCACCATCACCCCCCAACCCACACTTCTGGATTACACTCCAGTTCTTGTATGCATAAATAAATAAAAAAAATTTTTAAAAGGGAATGAGGTTATATAGGATTGGGGACTGGGTTGAGAACCAAGTAGTTAGATTTTATTGGCTAAGGAGCAGCCTGGGGCAAAGAAATGTGGACTTGGCTGAAGTTCATTGGTAGGTCACAGGGAAATTCACTCATGAAAAAACATGAAGAGGCTTTTCTTTGGATAACTGAGGTTTCTAATTTCTATTGGTGGGTTCCTTGCCTCTGGATAGCCTCGCTCTTCTGCATTTGTATTTCCCTCCTCCTCATCATCTTAGAGCTTAGTTCAAGGTTAGTCAATAAATGTCCAAGCTTTGCTGTGTCTGTAAAACCACATCTGAGAGACAAGTTGAGAGAAGTGTTTTACCTCTCTTTTGTTCACACAGGGTCTGAGACCAATTTATCTTATCTTTAGCTTTGGTTACAACCTTATGTGTGGGGACTTAATTCTGGGTTCTGTACTCTGTTCCATCGGTCTCTGTGTCTTTTTTTTTTTTTGCCAGTATTATGCTGGTTGTTTATTATTATTATTATTATTATTATTATTATTATTATTATTATTGCTTTGTAGCATAGTTTAAAATAAGGACATGTGATTCCTTCAGCTTTTTTCTTTTTTTCTCAGGATTGCTTTGGCTATTTGGGGTCTTTGGTGGCTCCACACGAATTTTAGAATTGTTTCTTCTATTTCTGTGAAGAATGCCTTTGGTGTTTTGATGTAGATAGCTTCGGGTAGTATAGCCATTTTATTGATACTAACTTTTCTGAGTCATGAACACAGAAAGTTTCCCATTTGTTATATAATCCAGAAATTATGCTGCTAGATATAGATACGGAGGAAATGAAAACAGAATTTTTATGAGACCTGCATTCCCATGTCTATTACAGCATTAGTCACAATAGCCAAGGTAAGGAAGCAACCCAAATGTCCATCAGTAGAGGAGTGGATAGAAAACACCTGGAACATACACACAATGGAATATTATTCAGCCTTGAGAAAGGAGGCTATACAGTCATTTGCAACAACACAGATGGAACTTCAGAAGCGCATTAAGCTGAGCAAGATAAGTCAGACAGAGAAAGGAATCTTTTAAATAAACCAAACCTGTAAAAAAAAAAAAAATCTAGTAAAAATGGTGATGACCAAAAGATGGAGGATGGGACAATAACATTAATGGCGTTTAAGGGTACAAACTTGTAACAACTAGTAAATAAGCCACGCAGATCTAATGTAAAGTATGATGAATACGGACGACACTATTGTACTGTATGTAACCTGAGAAATATGCTATAACCACACGATGTAATAATTGCATCAAGTAACACACTGTATGTCTTACATATACACAACGTTTCCTGTCAAATTTATCCAATTTTTAAAAAGTAAAAGTCACACCTGGAAGAGCCCAGAGTAAGTAATATAAAAAAAATTAAAGTCAGTAGCTTTTCTTTTTTCTTTTACTCTCCCCGCACACAACCAAGGAAAAGAGGTGGGAAAAAACAGCATTCCGATGTTCGCACCAAGTATAGCAGGACCTTACACAATAGATACAAAAGGAGTTTGATCTGGATCACAGTCACCAAGGAAGTTAACAGCAGCGCCCTCTGAGTCTTGCATTTCGCCCAGCACCCCACAGGAGACCCCCATTCAGCCAGGGCCTTGTTTTTCCGCACCGTCAAAAACAAAACAAACAGACAAACAAACAAACAGCAGACATACCCTGCATTAGCAATAACCAAACAAACAGGTGCAGGCCAGTAAGAGAGTTTTGCATATGAGCTATTTTTTCTTTTTGCAAAAATGCGTGGGGCCTCAAGGTATTATCTAGAGAAATTGGAGTCCTCGGGGACACCCCAGAAAATTCTTTTCCTGTCTTCTCCCCAGCTTCGGAAACACACATGCGAGCAGACCGCCCCGAGAGCTCGCCACGCTGCCAGACCCCCAGGCCGGCGGCCCCGCCTCGGTGCCCGGCTCCCCTCCGCTCCCCGCGCCGCGCGCGGCCACCTGTTGCGGCCTCGCGCCCGGAGCCGAGTCGCAAACCGCCGCTAGAGTTCGTTCTCATCCCCCGAGCAGAGGCCGGCGGGGAAGCCTGGACGCTCAGCGCCTGCGGCTCCTGGGGGCGGAGGGGCCTCGGCAGAGTCTCCCAGCCCCAGGCTCCCTTTGTTTTCTCGCTCCTTCCAGAAGAGCCGGCGGGGCCCCCCAGCAGCGCGCCCTGGAACGCGCCGCGCGCGGGAGCGCAGGAGCCGGGCTCACGCCCCGGGGATGCCGACGCGTGGAGATGCCCAAGGAGGGGTCCTGGCCCCAACGGGGCTGGGAAGCCGGGCGCAGCCAGGTTGCCCCGCGAGGCCCCCGCGCGTTCCCAGAACCCCGAATCCCTGAAGCTCCTTGGCCGAGCAGCGAGGCTGGAGCGCCCGGGTCCGGGGGCAGGTTCACGGTTCCCGCGGGCAGGAGTCGGCCGGCCGCGGCTCCCAGACGCCCGCGGGGGGCCGGGGGGCGGCCTGCAAGGCCCGACCCAAATCTGAAAGCGAACCGCCTGCTTTGGGGGGCCCCCCCCCCGGCGGGCGCCGCAGGGCTGTGCTCGCCGGAGTCTGAGAATCCCAGCGAACGCCCGCTGACAAGTTTCCGTCAGCTCCCGGGGCGCCTGTTTGTTTATTGGCTCTTAAGGAAAAAAAGTTTGAGGCTCTCGCCAACCTCAGACCTGGCGCGAGCGGAGAGCCCAGAATCTCCCCGGCAGAAGGCATCCGTCTCCAAGGCCTTATATAAGTGGGCTCGCGCCTGCTCGCCCGGCCCCACGCCCTGCCACTGCTACTCCAGGGGAGAAATGTGTCTCGCTTAAAAGAAAAAAAAAATATATATATATATATTTTTGGGTGGTTATAGAATCTCCCCGAGCCCCGAGCCCGCGGGACGCGCAGGCCGCGCCCCGGGCGCCCGGCGGCCCCACCCAAGCGGCCCCTCGCGCCGCGGCAGGAACGCGGGGTGCGGGGTGCCGCCGGCTTCGGGGGAGCCCCGCGCCCCGCGGCGCCTGCGTCCGCCGCTCCACGTGGTCAGGATCAACAGTTTGCCGAGCTCATCACTGACACCTTGAACTTTTCATAAAGAAAATGGGTATTGCACGGGGAGGGCCGGGCCGGGCCGGATTCCTATTCAACGATCTCCTCGCGCCGCCCCGCCGCCCCTCGCGGAGACTCCGCGAGTCCGTTAGCGGGGCGCCCCTGGGAAGTGAATTCACGGCCCCCCACCCCCAACCCGGGCCGGCGCCCCGCGCCCCGAGGGCCGGCCTCCCCCTCGCGCGCCCGCCTGAAAGTGACATCCCGCCGGCGCGCGGGGGGGCCGGGTTCCACTTTGGAACTTTGTGCCGCGCCGGAGCCCGGGTGGCAGCTCGGGCGGTGGTATCGTATGCAAATACGCATGCTGACGTTACAGATCATGTGGGTTTTGGCGTAGATTCCCCACTGATCGAGACATTCTTTTCCCCTTTTTTTTTTCTTTTTCTTTTTTTTTTCTTTTCAAAATTTTGGCCACTGTCGTGCGCACGGGGGCTTCTTCCGTCCGTCTGTCTGGCGGGCGGGCTGTCCCCCGTTTCCCACGGCCGCAGCCGCGCGCGCGGCGGGAGTGGGGAGTGGGTGGGGGGAGCCAGCAGAGTTCCATTTTGGAACGCCCGTGCCGCGTCTCCGCGCGCCCAGCCGGTGCCCGCGCGCCCAGCCCTGGCGCAGGTAAGAAACTTCGCCCCGGCGCGGGGCACCCCCCGGCCCGCGCCGCCGGCCCCGCGCCCCGCACGCCCGGGCGCCCGCCGCTCCTGCCCAACTTTGGCACCGGCGCGGCGGCGCCCGAAAATGTGTTGTTAATGGGACTTGGCCGGGTTGGGGGGGGGTGGCTCGGAAAGGGGGGTGCGTGGGGGGGTGCGGGCTCTTTTTGCGGGTGCGAGGAAATCGGAGGCGGCAGAGCGGGGGGAGATTTTTTTTTTGCAGAGTTCTGGCTCCAAGTTTGGATAAACGGGAGCCAGCCCGCGAGCAGAGGACGACAAACATGTCTACGTTTCCCTATGTCGACATAAGCCACAAAAAAATATGGCGTCCGCTTTCGACAGGGCGTTACGTAGACCCGACTCTGTTTTTATTTATTTATTTCGTGGCGGGCTCCCTGCCTTCCCGGCCCGACCGCGGCGCTTTGTGCACGCGGGGCCGGTCCCGCGGGGACGCCACCGGGACGCGGCCCCGGCCCGGCGGGGCGCGGCGGGCGGGGGGCTGCGCGGGGGCGCCCGCCCGCCTCCCCCGCTCCCCCCCTGCGCCCCGCTCGCGGTGACGATTCGCCGTAGTGTGGTGGCAGGAAGCATGACGCCGTGGGCCGGGCGCCGCGCCTCGCGCCGCTCCTGGGGCTGCGGGCGGCGGGCGCGCAGCGCGGGCGGCCGCGCGCTACCTGGCGGGGGCAGGGCCGGGGCGCGCTGCGGGCCCCACGCCCCGCGCAGGTGCCGGGGAGCCGCGGGGGCCGCGGCAGGGGCGGGGCGCGCGGGACCCCCCGCCCCGCTGTCTGCAGCCCGCGGGCCCACGCCCGCCGCGCGCCCTGGCCGGCCCCGGCCCGCGATCGCCCCCGGAGCCCAGGCGGCTGGGGCTGTGCGGCTGCCCCACGAGAGGGTCATCTTTGTGGGTGTTGCGGCTTCTTTGTGGCCTCCCCGGACTGGGTGCCATCGCCTTGGCCAACTTGCCTCTGCCCGGCCGCTGTGCAGGAGGCGGCGCAGACGGAGATGAGTTGAAAGTTGGAAGCCGGCGAGCAGCGCAGGACGGTCCCCTGGGCCTCCTCGCTGTGCGGAGCTGGGGAGGAGGAGCTGGGGTGGGGGTCGGGGGCTGGGGAGAAAACTTGACCGAGATGCCAAGTTGTGATCTGCTCGGGGGTCCACCTGATGGATGGGCTGCCACCCCGTGGGGTCCCTGTCTTGCGCTGTTTCCGATGGCCTTTTGTTCGTCCCGGAGGTGGGGACGTGGAGAGGGGGCGATAAAGAGTTTCCCTGGACCCCTCCCCTTGGGAGGAGTGACTGCCCAGCAGGCCCCCTGGCACCGCTGAGTCTCTCGGGGCCCCAGAGTCCCCTACCTGCTCTCAGGCTGCCTTTTCTCTCCTACTTCATAGCTTCCTAGGTCTGAGGCAGGCCTTATTGGACAGGATTTGGGGGGCAGGAATTCCGCCTCCCCCTCATCCCTTGGGTCCTCAGACCTCCCACAATTACCCTCTTAAAACCAACTCTCGCCTTTATGTGGAGCAGAAGTGAATGCGGTGGGAGTGGAGGGGTGATGTGCTGAGTGCTCTCCAGGGTTTCAGTCAAAAGGTGATTTTCTATTTATGAGGGCGCCGAGATTAAGCACTTCAGTCCCAGGGCAGTAATGTCAAAAAGCATTTGGATGACAACCAAGTGGGATAAATATCTTGTAAAATGGCATGTTTAATAGTAAAAATAGATTAATGGAACCATCAAGGGCTGGAATGGGGCAAACATAAAGGCTTGATTTAAGTTGAAGGAGGAAGTTATATAAAATTGTAAACATATCTTTGAAGGCCAGAGAGGAGAAATCTATAAGTAATATGATGAAAATGTGTCACTGACATGAACTGGACTGACATGTGGACGCACATCACTGCTTTCTGGACACCGTTCCTCTATTGTCACGTGCTTGTATAGCTCCTGGCTGGGTGTGAAGTCAACTGAGCACCCACCTGAAGTTCACAGCTCTGGTGGGGAGACTGGGAGATTCAGAGGCCAAGGTAGGGCACATTAGATAGATTAATCCCCATTTAAAGGAAAAAATCAAAATGTTCGTTGACCTCTAAAGCAGGCTATGCCCCCCGAGTGAACCGAGTGTATCTGGACATGTCAAAAGGTGACTTCCCCACGTGTCTCACCCACATCAGGACCATTCGGTGGGATGCTGTCCATGTGACAAAATGAATGACAGTGTTTGATAACACTTGCCAACACTTACTGCTTCAGTATGCCAGGCACAGTGCTGTATATTTCACGTGCGTTATCATTTAATTCTCACCCTATCCCTAAGAGATAAGTATTATTGTCACCTCCAGTTTACAGCTGAGGATGGTGAGGCTCAGAAAGGTGAAGAAACTGGCTCAAAGCCACACAGCGAAACTCACAAAAGTGAGTATATTTGCAGAATGGAGGTCCTTCAGGGCCAAAAGCAGTCCTTTAGAGCAACTGTCCAGATGTGCGGAGCTCTAGTTAGAATTAAAACTCAGAAGGAACAGACCATGGCCCTGGGTTGTGAACACAGGAATTTTCTGGAGTTTACTCCTTTATTCGTTTATTTAGCAACAATGTGTTGATTTATTCATTCAGTCATCTGCTGTGATATTCATCGCACTAATAAGAGCCCACAGTCATTAAGCACAGTTATTTGCCAGGGACCATACTAAGTGCTTATGATTAAACTATTTTGTCTTCATGACAGCCCTGTCAGGTAAGGGCTCTTGTTCTTTCCCTCTTATAGATGAGGAAGCAGAGGCCCAGAGGGGTTTTCTCTAACTTGCCCCAAACCTAACAGCTAGGGGGGTGTCCGAGCCAGAACATGCTTGCTCCACACTCCCAGACATTATAGAGGCTGGGGAGTCAGACGACCTCAATGTAGAGTTCTCCCAGCACAGTAGAGATGGTGGTGGGACAGAGACCCCTGAGTTTGAGAGGACACAGACGGGGGAAATACTCATTAGGCTAAATCAAGCAGGATTCACTAAGTGAGAAAAGTAGTGACTGCGCACACACAATGCAGGGTGTGACTATTGTGCCTTGAGGGAATCTTGGAGGACAGCCTAGAGGAGGTAGCATCTGAACTGACCCAAGAATGAGGGCCATGTCTGGAGGTGTGTCAGATATGAATGCATTCAGCTGCCAGCAACTGAAATCCCACCACCAGTGACTTCACCAAACGGTCCTTTGTCTCAGGCAAGAAAGGTGGGTGGGCCTATGCCTCGGCTGTACCGCCGTGGACCCAGGCTGTCTTTCCACTCTGTCATCCTTAGGGGTATAGGCCTTTGGCCCCTGGCCTGTTCGTCTCATTGTTGAAAACCGACCGCTGTATCTCCAGACCTCACACTTGCATTGCAGCAAAGAGATGGTACACTGGGTGAGATACAAAGAGCATTACCCCGCATGGTTGTCCTGTTCTGATTAGGAAGGGATACCTTCTCCCTTAGATGAACCTACCCAGGAGGGGCAATCCTGTAATTTTAGCGAGGCCTACTGCTATGGTAAACTAGTGGGCGTTCAACTTGTAAGCAGAGGGGTGAATGGAGGAATCGTTGTTGACTTGACAGATAAGTTGTGCGAAGCCTAAACTGAGACACGGAAGGGAGGTATTCCTAGGAAGGTACAACCTCGCCCCGGTTGTGCACATCCTGTGTGTATCCTGGGAGACAGAGCGGGGATGCTGTGCAAAGAGATGTGTCCAGACTTGGGGGAAACGTGGAGGAGGCTGGCCTTTCATCTATAGGTATGGGACAAGCACAGCGGGTTCTGAGGAGGCAATGTCGTGTGTTTCAGGAAGGTGAGGCTGACAGCAGTATGCCTTGTGGAGACACATCAGCTTGGCTCTTATTTAAAATAAAATGAATTCTGGAAAGTTTCAGACCAGGGGACCAGTTTTGCCTTAGGACAAAAAGAAGACAGCTACAATAAGAAAGTGAGGGCTGATGGGGAGATTTTCTTTTAGGTGCTGCCAATAAAAATTCAGAATTAACCCATGGCTCGTCAGCTCTTACCAGGAGGTAGCTGGCTCTCCTTTGGCAATAACTGTGGAGCTGGAAAGGCTGCAAGGGGTACCGTTTCCTCCCCAAACACTGTTTCCTCCCCAAACACTCTTAGACTCCCAGATTCCCGCATCCATCAGCAGAACACTGACAGTCACCCCTGATTCTCTTTGTTCAGCTTATCAGCTTTATGACTCTGGGCAACCCCAGTTCCCCCGTCTCTAAAATGGAGCTGGTTCTAGGGGCTGCCTTATGGGTCATTGTGAAGCTCAAGAAGAAATGTATAAAAGGGGTTAGCACGACACCTAACACACGGCTGGGCTTAGTAAATGTTGCCGTAAATCATCAGCACTGCCACCCTCGCGCCCCACCACCCCCTCAGAGGTGACTTGGCTGTATCATTAAGCTGTCCAGTAATTAAATGCGTGGATTTTATCATTGATTCAGAGACCCAGACTCATTGTCATTCTCCTCCCACCTCCCCCATACACATGTGCATTCATGTGTGCAAGTCTGAGCAACTGCTGAAATAGAAAGTTCTCCCAGGGCATCACACTGAGACCCTGATGCAGTGTTCAGGCACCGTAATGTGCTGTGTCATGCCAAGCCAGCACAGTTCTGAAAGGATGCTGGGTTATGCGCAGGCCCAGGGTAGACCATACATTGGAAATTATTTTTAATATTAACAAGGTAGCTTTGTTTTTAACTGAAGAAAAAAAAAAATCCCCTCCCCCACCCTCCCCAAAGCCCCCCACCCTACAGGGAACAGGTTGTGATTTTAAGAACATCCACCCACAATCTGTTTCCTGTTCTTGTGCTTGTAGTCATGCATTTAAGAGGGTTTTGATTGGCAAACTGTGTGTGTGTATGTGTGTGTGTGTGTGTGTGTGTGTGTGTGCGCAACAGACCCCCAAGAAGAAAAACTGATAATGGTACCTCAGTTTCTACTCCCAAACTTTCAAATGGAATA